TACACACACGCGCCACTGTGGAGTGCTGCGTTTGACTCCTAAAAGGCAGGTGTCTCTGTCTTGGCCCAGCAGCAGGGACATTGTTGTACACTCCTGAAAGGGTGTGGGACATCATTTGAGCCGGTACAGTTTTGCACAATGTTGCACTGGTGAATGGAGTGCCATTGGCTGTGCCAGTCCAACGTGAGGACCCGATGCCCGGAGAACAATAACGAGGAGAGACTGCACAAATGTGCTGCACAGAGGAGACAGGACCTTATCAATGGATTCTGATGTAAAGTATAAGTTTAGAAAGTGCTCTTGCTATTTAATCAGTGATAAAAAAAAATCCAATAGAAATCCATCAAAATGTGCCTCAGGGGCAGCAACACACCATTTGGTGACGTTAATAATTATTTTTGTTGAGCCTCTGTCAGACGCTCCAGTCTGCTCTACATGACAAAGACGCAACAAATTAAAACTAAACACTTTCAATAATAGGAGCAACGTACCCTATGTCATGGCAATAAACAAATATGAGGCATGTATGAGATATTAATTCATCATCATGAGCAACTATTGACTAACGATTTATTCAAACTTCAACCACTGTCCACTATTCCGCGGCAGCGCTGTTCAGCGCCACCATAATCCTGGACTGCTTTTAGACCAGTTTTGATGCTTCCAAAGAGAAAGTCCTTGTTAGTTTCCACCACAGACGCGAGGATATCCACTTTCAGCTCAGAAAAGTTTCAAATCTTTCTAACATTTCTCCTCTTTCATGTTTGACCTCAGTGGGCGAGGCTTCTGAACCACAAATATTTAAGGGCGTAAACATGTTAATGACTATCAATTTCAGCCGCCGCATTTATCAAGACCCGATCATACATACGCTGGGATTGGTCAGATACGAACCTTTTCATAAATCTCACGTGTGTCCTATCGTACGATGAATCCTGCTCTCAGATCTGCGCAAGCTTGATAAATGAGGGCCACTAGGAGATACTCCTTTCTTAAAGTCAGATAGATGGAGTCATCATGAGTTTGTCTGCTTTTCGCAGGCACCCCAGGATTTGCATACCCTATGTTTAACTAATAACATGCTTCACTCTCAATAACCCCGTAGTAGAAATTATCTAGGAGCTGGAGAATCGGCTGATTTGGAGCAGCAGCAGTGGTTAACAGTATCTGACTGTATGAGATTCTTGCAGGATTTTGAAGTGTCTTGCTTAGCCAGGAAAAAAAATAGTCATAAAAACAAAAAGACGAAAAAAATAGTACCAAAAACAAAAAAAGGGGGAAAAATATTAGTCCAAAAAAAAAAAAGAATAACAGATAGAAGAAAAAAAATGTCTGAAAAACAAGCAAAGAAAAATAAAATACTCAAAAAAAAACAGTTTCCTTTTTTTTTTAAGTGAATGCAATATACTTTCATAGCAACAAGAGAGGACTTTTCTCATGTTTTATTTCCTAAAAGTGAAGCCAGAGGGACCTTTTTACATGAACAACAAACTGGAAGGGCATCAAGATAGAGCATTAATGCAAATGAGGATCCATTTTTCAGGTTTGTGTTATTGAGAGTGCATCCAGGGGCATTTTTCCATGTTTCATATACTGGAGGAGCATTCAGAAGGATGTTGAATCTTAGTTTGGGTAAAAGAAAACCGTCATTGTGAGGTAAAAGTGTGTCACACTGTCAGATAAACTCGTTTGGTTCGGTTCCTGAACACTAAAGGAAGAAGCAATGAGATAACTGACATATGTCAACACACGTAAACGCTTCAGTTGGCTCCATGCATGCCAAGTCCTTTCTCTCCACCTCAACCAACAACGAGCTGTGTGTGTGTGTGTGTGTGTGTGTGTGTGTGTGTGTGTGTGTGTGTGTGTGTGTGTGTGTGTGTGTGTGTGTGTGTGTGTTTCAGCTCAGGTGCTATCAGGCCTCACCCTGCCCCTTTCATAAAACAACAAACCTAATCTGTGACCTGCTGATGAAAAGGTGTTTATGGCATGTGAAGAGATCTCTTCTATCGCTGCTATCCGACACACCTGACAGTGGCAACCACACACTCACCTTGACCTACATACCTGTCCTTATTGTGTATTACTCAACACAACACACTTCACCCATTAGCATTCCTTCTCAAGGCCTGAAACTAACCTCTGATCTCTAATATATGCAAAAACGCGACATATTTGATTGTTCTGGTACTGTCCGAAATGGTGATGCTGACCTTTCAGACTCATTGACCCCTTTTAACCTACTTCATAAAATGCATTTAAGTTTAGTCAAAACTGGCTTTAACACCTTTAAGAAGAGGCTAGAGTATCAGGTTTAAAGGATGATTCCAACATATTTCTCGTAAGTTTCAAAACCCGAATCCGCCTCAGCTGACCAGATTCCCAGCTCTGAAATAAAATAGATAAAAGATAGAAAGAGAGATAAAAGCCTAGATAAAAGGCATTATCAGTTCATGAGGAAAAGAAACTGGGGTCTTTGCTGCAGCTTTCCCTGCCTTTTTATCTTACCACTCTGCTCTCCTTATCTTGGAATTTTAGATTCCTAGCCAGTAAAAAATAAAGTAAATGCAGTCAAATTTATGATCACCGCCCTTTGTAATTGTAAAAATTAAGACCCAGAAAGTTCAAGAAGTAACTCCATGGTAAATAAAGAAAGTGGAGGCAGCACAAGATCACATAAGACACCATTACGAGTGTTACACACTAGTGCGCACACCTGTCTGGCACATGTCCACCTGCTCCACATGCACACTAGGACACATGGACTGAGCTGAGGTTGCACAACACACCTACCTGTTGCAGTTTCATACTTTGCCCTGAGATAACACTCGAACATCTCCACACCTGGGAGGGGTTGCTGAGGTGACAAGTGTGTGAGGGAAAGTCTTTTTACAAAGAGAGAGAGGACTGAATGGACTCCTCACTAGTGGTTCAGTCAGTTTTCTCCGTACCTCAGTGCAAAGACAACAACTCTACTCATTAATGTTTGATACCACCTACACATTTCTAAATGGTAGTTACAGGATCATGTTCCTCATCATGTGTCTTCAGTTCTCTGTGGACCTTAGTGGACCCAGCAGGACTCTTCTCCTACAAAGCTATGCTGTTGTAATCCCTGTTGTCAGAATGTGAATTGGGATCATATGAAGGTCTTCCCTTAAAAAACTCATTGTCTGGATGGATGCAGATGTTGATCCTAAACCTGGAAATATTGTTTAAAATTGTGGATGCAGCATCTATGATTTCCAATTTTTTGTTGAAAGGACAACTGGATTTACTTGGGACGTTTTGCCATTTTTAAAAGAGTGTTAGATTTTGATTCATTAGACCTCAGTACGATACACGGACAAGTGACATTAAGCCCATGTGGTGCATTCAGCTACAGTGTCCTGATGCGCCTGAACCTGTAGATAATGTTCAATATTAATGGAGCCCTCACAGATGTGGAAGATACCCATGACATGGACTCTGATGATCCTTAAACCACCAGCGATGCTGGATTTGGACTGGGAGCTGAGAACAAGCCTGGTGGATCCTCTACTCTTTAGAGAGGAGTATGCAGAGTCCAGGATTTCCAAAAAAAGGTCACACACACCGTTATTGGTCAGATTTGATCCTGGTTCTATCTGGTCTCCTCTTTCATGGTTCGGTCTGAACCTCATTTCTGGAAGCTAGATATGGTTTTTATCACAGATAATGGTTTTTGGACATGGTTCTGAGCCCATGCGGTGATTTCTGCTACAGAGTCATCATGTATGTTTACCTGCCAACACAAAAATTCAATTCTTCCTCTGCACCATTACCTGTACAATTAAAGGTACAGGTAAAGGTACAATAAAGAGACAGAATGAAATATATAAATACATCTTTAAATAAATGCTTAAGTATGTCATTGAATGGGAATTAAATAGATAAATGTGTAATTAAATGTGTCATTAATTTATCGATTTATTTATTGACAGATAGAATAAATTCATGAAGCACTGCAGCACAGGTCCATTAAATAATTAATTAAATAGTGAAATAATAATATATGTTTTTAGAATATAAATTTTTCTCCCCCCTGCTTGTGATGTTGACATGTAGTTATGTCTGGTTATGACTGGTTTGTGCTCAAGTCCTCTTTTTTCTGTGAAGCTCCATTTTAAAAGTTATTAGGGGGTTCATGTATTCTTTGATTGACACCTGATACAGCCTATGGGCGTTCAGGGATTGCGTCGCTCACCCGGGGGGGGGGATACGCTGTTTGAGCCAAGCGTCATCACAGTGGCTCTCGGCGACTGCGCGGCCGAATGCGTGCATCGCTACCGCGCGGCACTGGTTTCAGGAAATGAAGGAAAATCCGGGAAATATCGAGAGCTTTTTGGCTTCAAATCCGTATACAGGCGGTAGGCGGAACCAAGTTGTACATAGTATATACAGTCTATGGTTTTTACATTGAATGAGACCATATTTTGATAAACTAATGACACATTTATTTATTTAATTCCCATTATAAGTAATTAATGGCATATTCAAGTATTTATTTAAAGATTTATATATATATTTTATTCTCTCTTTTCGTCCTCCATAGATTTTGACCCTATTCTTGAAACAAGACTTCATCCTCATATTCTCTTAACTATCATTTGATTGTTTTGACTACTTCACAGAACTATTCTCCATATTTTATCCCTTTTGTTTATCTTGTGTTTTTTAACATTACTTGTTTTAGACCTTATTCCTGTAATACTGGAAATTAAGAGCAGACTATTTTTGTCCTCATTCAAATAAAATGAAAATATTTAGTGTGAGGTGGTGCTTTGGAAACTTCCTTCTTTGAGCCTTTGCATTAAAAAGCTTGTAGGGTAAAGATCATGTATGTTTATGAAGCTTTTCACTGTTCCACATTTCACACACTTTGTATTAACCAGCTCAGTCTATATTCTTTGTGATTGTGTGCACTAACTGCCTAACTGTGTCTTTTGTGCATTTCTTCTGCAGGGAGCAAAAACCACACCGCCTTCTCAGCTCATTCTCGTTCTTTAATTACATCAATATCAAAAAAGTGCTGCTTGGTAAAGAATAACATTTTTTAAATCCTCAAATTCATATGAACAAAGAAAAAAAATGACAAAAATAATTTATGATACAATAACAAAAATATTTACATTTTAATAAAAACAAATCTATACAATAATATAGACAGGAAAAAAATTAAAAAATAAAACAACATTACAGGCCAGACTGCAGCCAGGTGGAGGTAGGTTTATCATGCTAACAAAAAAAATGTTTCACCTCTGCTGTCCCGTTAAAACCTCCAAATCCGCCCTTGAAAAACGCGGTGACCGAAAAGCTCTAGAAGAATAGCAAAAATAACTGAAAATCTAAAACTACAAAATAATTAACTCGTATTGGAAGCATTTGTGGTTTTAACATGACAGCAGCGTAATCAAACAAAAGAAACTAGGAGTCCTGAACAGAGTACATTTCAAGGCAGAACAGGTTTTTACCATTAAACACCAAAAACACCTCCACTCTCTCTACCAACAAACAGGGTCTGTTCAAGTACAGCCAGACTGAGGAAGAGGAAGAACTCTATTCCAATACAAAAATACTTACAGGATGCATTTTAAGACATTTGACACCAAGAAGCAAACATTTCCCATCTGCACATTTCATTACAAACAGCACATTAAATGGATCATATTGGCAAACTTCATATCCAGCCCAAAGTACCAGCTCAACCAAACACCTGAGAGGTACGACAAGCTCATGGTGAACAGGTACAGATCGCCATTATTTTTAAAAATACCTACTTTAATCATATTTACTTTTTAATATCACTCGGATTGATAATCTCCAGAACCAGTTTTGGACCCCTTGAACCAAAAGAACAGCTTATCAGGGAACAAACTGGTACCAGTGGAGTCATCCATTGACAAGTGACATATTCAGGGGAGTGATCCTCACCTCTAGAAAATATACATGGTTGAAATCTTAATTTACAAAAGGGCAAACACTTTATCATCTAATGATTTTATAGGTGCTCAGAAAAATCAGCGTCTTGTTGATAGAAGTTAGCTTTTTACTTATAGGAAACTATCTGGTTGATTGAAGCAGGTGGATGCAAAGAGGTTGAAGCTCATCCCAACAAAACTGATGTTTGATAATCTTGGGCCACCAGTTGATGAATCTCTGTCACACTGAAGCATCGATCACTGGATAATAAAATATCATCCTCTTCTTATTGTACATTTAGAAGGATGGCTGCTTTCTGAGCAGCAGAACTAAACGTCACAGTATTCTTCCAACCAGAACCTTTAAATATACCATCTCCATTTTTCAAACATACAAGCCTTATTCAGAGGTTTCTCTGACCCAACTTTGGCTGAATTGCTACTGTAGCTCACCTCGGGGTTCAGTTCCCGCTCCAGTTCAGCCTCCTCAGAACCTGAATGCTGCTTATTATGGCTACTTCCAAGCTTGAACTGGTTATTCCTCACACACAGTTTTTTTTCCCAGCTTGAGAAAACACACACCCACACACACACACACACACTGGGGGGAGTAAACTGGTGGTGAACTGAACCCAGGCTGAGCATCGGTATTTGTACAGTATCACACCTGGTCTATACAGTACTGTCTAAACACATGAACCTGATAACAGAGTGGTGTTGGGCCCAAGGGTCCGCCTGAAGTCAAGCGGGGCTGGAAGCACATTGAATACCTCTTTGGACTCCGACTGGGATGCAAGAGGAGCCATGATGCTCATGTTTAGGGTTGGTATTTTTACCATGAACAGATCTGATAACCCTAACCCTCAGACGGACGTCTTTGAAAACCCTCATTTGAACCTCTACTGTCTCTTTAAGGCACTTTGGAACCCAGCACTCCAAGTCACAGCATTCCGGAACTCATACCCTCAGAACGCTGCATTCCAGAGCCCTCCTCCACTGTTGCCATGCTACAAAGTCTTGTCACTCTATTGAAGATGACTACTATCTAACCCCTAAATTTGGAGGGGCAGTGAAAGAGCCCGCAGCAACAAAGCACAGGTACGTTATGATCATTATGCCGTGTAAGGTCTCACTGATTGGTATGACCAATCTGAGCAGACCATTTCAGTATCATTTAAAATTGGTTCATTTGTAATGTGAAATAAGCATAATGCAACCTCTTTAATCAGAGCTGAAGGAGGTGCAGTTGACCAAATACTCTGAAGCCAGCATCACACATCAGTCAGAGTGGAGGGATCACTGGTTAGTATGGCTATAATACGTCCTGAAAACACAATATTCAAGTTTCATTCAACTACCTAGCTCATGAGGCTTCAAATTATTTGGCCAAGGGCACACCTCTGCCCAAAGTACGAATGACGACCAAAGAGGTTTTTGTGTTTTATGTGCGTCCAGCCCAGCGAAAATAAAAATATCTGCTCTGCTCTCTCCGACCTCGTTCCAAATTTAAAAGTCCTACTCTCTACAACAGTCAGCAGTCAAGGCATGAGAATGATCAAATCTGAGGCAATGAGTGTGTGTGTTACATAAGTCTATACAGTCCAGACACAGTTATTGTTACCATGAAGTCCTTGAAATGTCTTAAAGTTTGTGCACTCCTTTCAGCATGACACCTCCCTAGTCTTTGTACAAAGTGTCCTCAATAAGCAGCTACAATCACAGCCTGTGATTGGTCCATTAGCTGCGGAGCTGCTCCAGCCTGGCTTTCAGCTCCTCCTGCTTGGCTCTAAGTTTGTCCCTCTTGGACTGCAGTCTATGACCTTCGTCTTCCAGGCCGTAGATGCAATCCCTTGCCTTCTTCAAGATGATCACCTTGGACGCCTTGTCGTTGTGCGACAGCTCAGGAACGTTATCTCTCAGGCGCATGAAGCAGTTCTTTAGCTCGTTCCGCCTCTGCCTCTCCATTACATTGTGCGTTCTCCTCCTCTCTTCTTCATCTTCCGTCTCTGTTGAATTCTTGAATGAGTGGTGGTGGTGGTGGTGGTGGTATCGTGATGAAGAGGAGGATGAGGAGGACGAGCTGCGGGAGGAGGAGTGATGGTAGCGGGATGAGCCATCACTCCCTCTCGTGCGTTTGTTAGACGAGGAAGACGGTGGCGGTGGTGAGGCAGGACATGGCGCAGCATAGTTGTGTTGCAGCTGAATCTCAATGTTGTGGCGCTGAAGGGCCCGCTTTTCCTCTTCCTGCTTCTGCTGACGGGTTGACAGATCAGCCAATGAGGGCAGAGGGGGGGGGCTGGAGGAACAGCGCACCACAGTCACTACATCAATCTCCTCCTCTGTGGAAGAAAGAGAAGAAAAGGTCAGACGGGTTTGTTTTTTTGACCCTTTGGGGAGCTGAATCTGCGGCGTGATGACGACATGACATTTCAGAGAATACACTGACACCAAAAACAAGAGTGTATGCACTGTACACATAAGGGATCTGCTTACACACACACATAGACACAAACAGGACTTCCTTGAAATGATTGTGCTCTACATTTATTTTTGGAATTTCTGTGATTTTATTCCCAAGTCTGTAAAAACATGGTTTTATTTTAAAAATGAAGTTTGTGCCACTTCCAAGGCTGTAAAACTGGCATCACGACCCACTACCGCCCCTTACTATGAAAATGGGTGACGCTCTACAGTCGTGACAGTCCTGATGGATACATAAAGACTGAAAACATGTTTTTTCTATTTTTAGCAATGACTAATCCTGACCAGATAATTCAATAAGCACTAGTCAGCCCCTTGTTCTTCTTCTCTGGTTTAGAAAGTACAGGATGCCACAGGGCTTAAGTCCTTGTGATGACTCATTAGGTGGTAATAGACGGAGCTCCTGAACATGACTCTCTCACACAAACACACACACACACTATTACAGTCAATCGTGTCATCTCATTATGTCAGTCAACAGCTAAAGCCCCGCCCACACTCCAGCTACATCCTTGAGTCATAAAACACTCCAGGTGGTCGGCCGGCATGCAGATAAGAGGAGTTCAAAGAACAACTCGGGCTCGGTGCCACTAAACATTAACCATGAGTTATCAATGAAATACTAGGGAAGGAGCTGAGGGAGAAGACTGTTTATACTGATAAGCTGCACGAGAACAAGGTCGGATATGATTATCAGGACTACAACATCCGTAAAAGGGGAGGAAGTTTAACACGGTGAAACTCTGATGTGAGATCCACAAAAAACATCAGCAATCCTGTAAGAAAAAAAGAAACTTCCAAAACAGCAGAAAAGATTTTATCCCAAAATCCTTAAGATTTAAGAATAAAATCAAGAAAACCGAAATTAACTCGGTCCTCTAAGTCGGGCTCATTGGTTTGAGGTTTAGAAATGGGTGCAGCGTTTTAGCAGAACTTCACCATAAAGGTTAAGTATGAGGAAGTTTGAACTTACCAGAGTCACTGGATGAATATGTGGATCCTCCTGTTGACCCATAGTCTGATGTGGATTCGCTGGACTCCTGAGTGTTCATCAGGTTCTGGCAGTCCAGAGTGGACCCAGCGATCTCCTCAAATATGCTTTCATTGATTTCTGAAAGCAGTGGGCTGGAGCTGAGCATGGTGGAGACCAGCTTCTCCTCTAGGCTCTTGTCTCCTGCGAGACACCGCCACAGGCAGTCCTCGCCGCTCTCCTCCAGTGGGGAGCAAGGCTGGATGGGCTCACCCTCCTTCTCTGCCATGTCGGAGTGGAAGAAGTCGTAGTTCCAGTTGAGCTGCATGTCGCGATCCTCCAGGAGGAGCTCGGACACAAAGCTCAGCTGGTCCTCCTTGGACAGGGGCTTACTGCTGCCGACCTCAGCCTTCATTGGAGGGGACTGTGGGGGAGTTGGCAAAGACTGGAGGTCCTTCATCAAACTCTGGCAGAACTCATCATCAAACAGCAATGGCTCAGAGTAAAGCCAGTCCTGTGACTGAGCGAAGCTTTGCAACATCTTGATGGTGGTCTCTGTGAGAAAAACCGACAAAAACACCCAAAAATAAATTAACCAGTGAGGTAGAGGAGTGTGAGAAGTTTAAAATCCAGGGAAGAAGAAGAGCTGGTAGTGTGGAGGACTGAATGAGAAAATCCAGCAGCAGCAGAGACACGTGTTGTAGTAAAAGTTTTCACTGGTTTCTCCTCACTGAGAGAGTCAAAGGCAGCGTACCACCTTTTATCTGTGTTTACATCACTTAAGCCCCGCCCACATCGCTACCCCAAGGCGTAAATCACCCCGAAAATTTGGCGCCCCCCTTCCCATGACATCACAGGAACAGCTGGGAGAGTCCATGCCAGAAATTTTACACCCCTTTTCACAATTTACATTTTCCCTTCAAAGAAAGTGCATAAAAACAGCCTGGGTGGGGGTGGGGGTAGCTTGAGAGAAAGTTTGTCGGCTTCCTTTGTCTTCCTTTAGTCATGCAACACGTAAGACCTCTGCTGCTGTTTCACACTCACGCAGGAAATCAAGTCAATACACAAAACCAAGTTTACAACCAAGTACGAGGAGCCCACATGCAGCAGATTCCTGATCATATTTATCCATTCAAAAGTGTGCATCTTTTTACCACTACTGCAGCTTCTCTTATAGCAAATGAATTTTTCACAGACCAAAGTTTATTTTAACTGCAAATACACATTGGTTCCATAATGGTTATAAATAAGTGTCAGTATTGGCCCTGAGAAACTTATATCAGACATATCATGAGTCATTTAAAAAAGCCAAAAGAACCTACCTATAATCCTAAAAAACAGCCAGGGTTCCTTCTAGAAACTGCTGCTTAAGCGAACCACTCATCAAAGCTATAAAACTGAAGCAAAAATTATGCAAATCAATCATTTGTATGCAAAACCACAGGACAACAGACAAAGGGAGGCCCTATTTTATGAGGGGAAATCCTATAATAATCAGCCTCTCATGCTTATATACGTGCATGTATAGCAGTCTGTGTGAGAGAACAAAGCAGCAGTGTGTGAGGTGCAGACAGACTTGGACTTAGCCAGGAGAACATTTAACAGAACTTTAACCCAGACCAATCTGCTCCTTGACTGTAATAACAGCCATTAAAAGTGTTTCATTTTCAAGTGTGTCAGGTTTACTTAGGCATTAAACTTCTGTGATCAACTCATGAATAGATGAGACTGTCAAAAAGTCCCGGAGGCTGAGAACAGCGTGTGCACATGAGGGTTTAAAGTGGAGACTCAAAGAAATGACCGTTTTTGTTGTTTTTTATTTTTTCAAATCAGGTTTTGACTGAAGCTTCAGTAGAAATTCATTAATCATCTGTTTGTGATTCTGTGTGAAATTCGTTTTTTTTTTTTTTCTTAAAAAAAGAACACAACATACACACATTTTCTCCAAAAGTAAAAATGTAATAAAACTTGATACTATTAAAGACGTGTAGCCACCCTATTATCATGTTTCAGGGGGTGACAGTGTCATTGTGTGGACAGGAACACAAAGTCCGACAGATTTCTCAGGTTGACCCGCAGTTCGGGTCATTTAAACCCAGCATGGGTTGAGCGACTGCAGACTTTAGACATGAAAATCGACATTCATCGATTTAACCCCCTAAATCTACATAAAACTAGCACATAAATGCACAAAACCACATTTACGACCAGCAACAAAAAAGCTTTCCACGTCTCATATGCAAGTTAGATAACAGAAGGTAACCCCATTTCACCCGCATGCACCAAGTTACCTTCAGCTGTCCTTATAGAGAGGGGAATTCACAATGAAGAAAAATGGAGGAAACGTCCGAGATATCCTTTAAAGTCCAAAAGGAGAGGAAAATCACTACAACTCTGTGTGTGGGGGAAATTTTCTGCGTGTGAAATTAAAGTCGTAACACGGCAGCATGGTGTTTATATCCTGTCTCTCTCTTCTTTTTCTTCTTCTTCTCCTCCGCTACTAGCAGACAGAGTAGGTGTGGCTGTCGGGGTCGCTCGGTTTATAAATCGACTACCGCCTGTGTCCTTCCGCTACGGAGCAAAATCGCGCCAAAATTTCTAAACAGTTCATTTATAGCGAGTGACAATTAAATGTATCGCGAAAATGTTCTCGTTTGAGTTCTGTTTCAGGAAAATTCAGGCGGAAAAGAAAGGGTAAAGGCACCGTTGATTAATTTCGCATCGAAGTTTGGGTCTATGTTGTCTTCTCGGCGGAGTGATACGACGAACGCAGAGATTCTAGGAAAATGGTGGCGGGTAAAAGTTAGGACAGAACACACGTGGATTGTGCGGAGATGCCGGGTGTCTCACTGCCTGCTTGCCTGTCTGTCCGTCCGTCCGTCCGTCCGCCCGCCTCCGACTGCCAGTAGTGCACCAGATACCGTTAAATCACACGAATGACTTGATCATGATTTTAAACGATCAGAGAAGACGAATTCTTCTGAACGCGTTGCGTTTGAAGCCGGTTGCATACATTGTAATGCTTTCGTGATCGTCAAATTGAACAGTCATTACTTGTGAATGTACAGGTACGGTACAGTAATACTGTTTGGTGTGTTTTTTTCATTGCAGATTTAAAGACAGGGGTTGTAACAGTATGAATATCAGTCCTTGAACAGTCAATTGTAGTGAAGTAGCAGAGAGACAGGCAGACAGACAGGCTGATGCTTTCAAAGCCACGTTGTCCTCGAATTCCAGCTCTTGCAGGAGTGTTTCACCATCCATCCATTTAACTCCAGCTCCTCCTCCTCCTCCTCCCACTGCTGCTGGGCTATTACCACGACTACTACTACTACTACTACTACTACCATAAACTATCTCTTAAGTGTCACTCATCACATAAAACGACATTCACTGCACTAAAAGCTAGTGCTAGTGCAACATGAGACTTCTGCCAATAAAAATACATACTTAACATTTTTTCTTCTTACAGTAAAACGCGTTTAAATGAAAATTATGCATTGGAAATAAAACTTCTCCAATTTTTTAAATTATATTTTTGCATTTCTTATCGCTGAGAAAAATCACAATGATCCCAGCTGAAAAGTCACTCAAAAGTACGTGGACAGAAACTGGTGCAAATGCAAGTAAATTACAACGAAGTAGTTTAAGTGACTGTGCATTAGGATGAATGAACTCCCTGCAGCTCCACACTGATACCGCAGCTCTCTCTTCCTCCTCTCCTTCTCCTCCTCAGCTCCCGCTTCTCTCGTGCGCTGCACGTTACATAACGGACAAGGATCCTCCGGTACACGTGCAGAAGCACCGGCCAATCAGAGCACAGCCAGCTCGGTTCACGTGAGTTCTCGGTAAGGCATCTTGCAACAGGAGCTTCATACCGAGTACTGGCCAATATACATTGATTTATACCCAGCTCTTTAAATACACACGCCTGTCTCACCCGACATTTACTCATGTCCAGTTGGAGCTCATCTGGTGTTTCAATCAACTAAAGTAGGCTGCATAAAAAGACTAACTCATATTCAAAATGAGTCTATATTCAGTTTTGCAGCAATAATCCCTGCTTATTTTGGTTTAAAATTACATAAATGTGCATAAGAGTGGTTCACAAACATGAGCCTAAGCTCAGCCTCCATTTGTAGGTTACAGCACAAATAAACATCTCCTTTGAGCTTTTAATCTTGCATTTACTTAATGCATTCTGCACTTTTAAAGGTTATGATAGCTTTGGTAGGAGTCTGTTATCTGGGGAAAAATATTCAGCTGAGCATAAATGCTCCCCAAATTTCCACAGGGAAAGTGCTGCATAATCTTGCAGAGGAAAACAAACATGATCTGAGCGTTTAAAAACGATCTACTCCACTTTTGGATTGGGATGTTTGAGAGAGAAGCAGCTGATGTGGGGCGGATCTTAGCAGCAGAGCAGAACAGAACATTTTGCTCCAGCAGGAGTAGACACAAAGAGAGGCAGGAGGAAGGGGATCATGGAGAGAAGAAGTGGGTTAATGTGCCACCTACAGGCCGACTGGCAGACTGACTGACTGACTGGCCTGGTTTCTGCTCTGAATACTAAACCCCCAGGCTGCCTGGCTGACTGAATCACTGGTTTAATTTGTGACTAACTGGTTAATTCAGGGATTTCTGGACTGCTTCATGTAAGTTTAACCCCCAAAAGCTCTGGACATGAGCAGGACTCACATCTATAGGCTTTGAGTGAACCCAAGATCAGGGCATCCGAGGTCAAATTTAAAGAGACAGGATCTCTTTTTTTTCTCCTTTACTTTCAAATGAAGCTAAAATAACAGATTTTAAAGCTAAATTGAGGCAAAGATATAAACTGTGAAACCTCAGGTTTCTCAAAACAACCTGTTCAAAACTATTGCACAAGAGCTGAGTGAGATCAGCATGAGAGCAAGTCTTGACATCACTGACAGGTAAAACTCTTGAAAAAAGCACAATACAAAAAAAGCAGTGGTTTCTTTTTAAAGATGGTGATTTTCAACAAAGGTTAAGTTCATGTTGACATCTCTAATGCATAGCAACAGTGGAAGTTTCTGGATGGCTGAGTTTTGAAGAACTTTGATCCTATATGCTGGATTCCATATTGATGGGTTCCAGAATACTGGTTTCAGGGGAAATGGATTCCAAAAGGCAGACCTCCAAAGTGTTCGATTCAAGAACACTTGGTTCCAGATTCCTGGGTTTTAGAATGCTGGGTCCAATAGTATTGGATTCCAGAGGGCTGGGTGCTGGAATCCCAGTTCCTGGAGCGCTGGGTTTTTAAGTACAGGGCTCTGTGCCTGAGTGGTGGAATTCTGGGTTTAAGAACTGTGGGTTAAAGTATACAGGATTCCAGAATGCTTGGTTTGTAAGTACAGGGCTCTGGAATGCTGGGTTCTGGAGTGCTGTGTTCTAGAATGCTGGGTTTTGGGGTACTTTGAAGTCCCTTAAAGAGACAGTAGGGTCATTCCATGTCAATTCAACCAAGAATCTCCACTCACCTCACAGATTTTGATGAAATTTGGTGGAGTGATTGGCCTTCAGGAGAAACTGTCAGAGCTCAAATATTTTTGTTCAAAGCCATCTAATTAGTGAGATAGGGGCTAATGAATTTTTGGCTAACTAGCATGACATGCGTTACAAAAGTGTTCATATCTCTGGAAGTATGGCACCTAGACAGCTGATTCAGGTGTCATTTTAAAGCTCTCTTCAAGTTCTATATTTTTGTTTATACCATTTTTGCCCAAATTGGACCACAAAAAAATGATAAAAGACCAAAAAATTTAATTGGAAATAGCAAAAGACGCGCGTCTTTCCATTTGCTTCATATTCACACTTAAGAAAGACTATCATGTCCACTAGCATCCCTGCAAGTTTCAGGATGGGCATTCCATAACTTTTTGAGTAATCAGTCAAAATGTGTGGTCTGTTAGGTCGAAAATTGTCATATTTGGCACATTGTACAGTCCTGACCTCATCTGGAGTCAGCTCCACTTGCCTGCTTGTGAAAAATATTACTTCCTCATAGTGCAAAATGCTTTTTTTAAGTTTTTTCATTTGTATGTTATCCCATATTTTTATGAAAAATGGCTAGAATAGCTTATTTTTGCTCAGTTTTCCATCACATTTCATTTCTATTTGCACCTATATCCAGAATATGAATGATCTTAGCTTCATGGGAGAATTATTTGGACATACCTGTGTTCCAGGCTATTTATCCTGAGCCCTTTCAACGTTTCCTTTATACTTCAAAAGTACTTTTAGCATACTTTTGAAGTACTTTTGTTAATAATTTTATTAAAATAATTTCTCTTGAGTATGGTATCATCCAATACTTGCTCGTGGGAATCCAGATTTTATGATTCACTCTTGGTCAATTTCCTTGATACAGTAATGTGGTAGCTAAAGTGCAAGCTCATTTTTGTAGCTTACTCGATTTGCCTCTGCTCCAAAGTGCATCAAGAAATTGAGACTCGGGGCAACAGAGCACCATTATTCACTACTCAAGAGAAATTATTTTACAGTCCTTACATGGCTCCTTTGCTCTCCTCTTGCCCAACTTCTTCTAGTATATTTTGGAATGGTTGCTAATTACTGTAGCTCTCCTGATATGCTCTTTCTCAAAGATTTGCATGTACTGAAAGCCAGAAGACCAAGACAACTGGGGAACCATCATTCCTTACATAGTCCTTGAGCCGGACTAGATGTCGGTACCACTTGGGTGGGCAAAACCTTATACTAAATTGTTTTTAGGGTCAATATAAGTAAATTAAAATATGATAGACTTTTCATAGGGGTAGCTTTTTATATTTTTTTCTCATTTTGTTATTTTCCTCAATAGGCGAATTTTTGTTAACTCCAAAAGCAACACAGAAAGTCAAAAGCACATTAAAAGTCATACTCTTTTTGGGTCACACTGCTCTTTTCTATAAATGAATCAAACCTGTGTCTAATTAAATGAGTTGATGAAGTGGGTGTGGCCCAATTTGATGGTGGAGCAGTTCTTTCAGGTATCATAGTTTAAAAGCAGGCTCAAGACCCACCTATTTAATTTGGCTTTTAACTAATGTCTTATTTTTTAATCTATATTTTTATCCTATTTCTATCTTATTTTATTTCATTTATATATTTTAAGTCCTCATTTTACATGTTATGTTTATTCTATGTGTTCACTTATTTTTAAATGGTATTTTAGTTTTTAATCAGTATTTTATAATTTTATCTAGTTTGATGTTTTTAGCTGATTTAGTTAATGTTTTTATTGCCTTTCTCCAGTGTTTCCTCAGTGAGGGCCACCTGCACTGCACTGCACTTCAAAATTAGCTTTCTTTCATTTTGACCTCTCATTTAGGTGTGTTTGAACTATTGGCTAGCCATAGAGACTTGTAATAACCCCCTAAGTAGTATTTCAAGTCATTTATCTAATACAGGTGTGTATATATAAGCTTCAATTAGCCAATTGTCAGGTCTAAATCAAGGTCTAAATTAAGGATATCTTTTTACATAGAAGTAGAAGTAAAGTAAATGCAGACTAATAGCATTATAATAACACAACTTTAATATGACACTGACATATTTTAAATGCAGGCACTCAATATACAATCATCCTGGCTGGTGCAGGGCAAGAAGACATTAGCAACAAAATAAGATCTACTGATGT